CTACCTCTCTCTCTCTCTCGGTGCAAAACACACGTATACGTCGCGCCGACGTCGCGCCTCGCTGGTACGAACGGCGACGCGAATGCCGCAGCCGCACCACTTCTGGAGCGCATTTCCGGAGCGTGCGCGCCGCGGCGCTCTCGCGTCGCAACTGCGCGCGAGGGTGTACCCGGTATCAAGAGTTGCAGATTTTTCCCTCGTGTTGAGAACATTGAGGGAGAATTTGTATGCAATAACTCTATAGAACTCTTTGAAAAATGACCCGAAACGAAGATTTCCGGGACCGTCGTGTGGAACGGACGTGTCCCGTCCTAAATAATTTTTGTATTGTATTATATTGCACTGTATTGCAGCATACTTTTGCCTTTACTTTCTAATTTTGTTTGATCAATTTTCGACTTTGCATTACTAGTATGTCTGTTTAGTTTGATTCGTTTTAATCCGTCTAGGAGGATCATGGCCTGAATAAATAGAAATAGAAGAAAGAGGCTCCTTGAAAAATCGTAACGCGCGCGAAATTCATCACTGCTATTAAAATTGTAATTGAAATCGCTGAAATTGTTATTATTGCCAATGAAATTATCACGTTAGAAGACATTATTTTTTATTATTCTAATCGCATTTTATTTTCTTCTCTGCAACTCTACCGTTATTAAAATTCTTGAAATTATCATCGTTATTAAAATTGCTACTGTTGTTAGAAAATATCATCTATTATTATTCTAATTATTTTTTATATTTCTCGCTACTTTACTGCTATTAAAATTGCAATTAAAATGGTTAAAATTGTAAGTGCTATTGAAATTACTATTGCTATTACAAGATATCATCTATTCTAATCGCTTTTCATATTTCTCCTTGGATTCCATCGTTATTAAAATTGCAATTGAAATTGTTAAAATTGCAATTCCTATTAAAATTATTGCTATTAAAAGATACCATCTATTACTTATTTTAATATCCCTTTTTATATTTCTTTTCGATTTCTCTGTTCACTCAAAAATCCAATGTAAAACACAGTGAAACAAAAAAAAAAGGAAAGGAGACAAATGTTTCAAATTTAAAATTACCGCGTTATCGTCAGATGATCGCGCATCGACCGAAGCGACTTACATCGTGGCGCTAGTGACGTATCGTTCCGTGTGTCTCACGGATGTGTGTCCGTTCGTCGTCGTCGCGGACGTATTTGCCGTAGAAAATGAACGTGATCGCGAGGTCGACGGCCGTCGCGCCGTTCCTGCGAGCGACGGCGACCGTCGTCTCGAACGGAGGGTTGCCCGTGGCCTCGACCGGTAAGGTTCACAAGCCAAAGATTGATGTTCCTCGTCCCTTCAATCGCATACTCCAGCAGACCATGCATCAGGATTTTCTTACCGGACCTACGTGCATAAGCTCGGGGATCGCAGGTGCGTCCGTTGTCAGTTCGCTTTATTTCACGAGTATCCTGCGAACTCGTCCGTTTCATTTGATAAATCGAGACGATTATATAATCGAACTGCGCATAGTCGTGCACTTTGCAGATCGCTGCGCTATCAATTGAGCTTAGGCTTGCAAAGCCTCTTCAAAAATCAAGATTAGTGGCATACAGGAAAAAAAGCAATAAAACTTAACATAAAGCAAATTAAATCAAGGATTTTAAAATGACAAAAGTTTTTTGTAATTTTCACTTTGATTAATTGATTTGCTTACTGAAATTTTATTGCTTACGTTTTCCTGTACGTCACTAGCTTGTAGACCCTGTAGACATGAATTAATGAAAATCTGTGGAAGAAGATCCTGATGAAGTTCCTCATTATTTTCTTGAAACATAGAGCAATAATAATATGATTTTGTATCGTTGCAGTTAGCACGCGAGTGTATCAACGACGTTTGGCACATACTGATATTCAGTATCCTGATTTTTCTGATTATCGCCAAGACGAAGTAAGAGAGTCACATGTAAAGTCGAAAGAAAGCGCACCATCGCGAAAGGGTTTCTCCTACCTTATTGCAGCTGGCAAGTATATAAAAGACATTAAACAAACTTAAATCTAATTTGTAATTTTAACTCATATTCAATTTTGCACATCTAGGTGGTTCTGTGGTAGGAGTCTACAGTGCGAAAGTGATAGTACACGATCTCGTTGGGATGCTGAGTGCATCGGCCGACGTACTCGCCATGTCAAAGATCGAGATAAAGCTCGACAGTATTCCCGAGGGCAAGAGTGCTGTCTTCAAATGGCGCGGAAAGCCTCTGTTCGTGCGACATAGGTAATCTTCCACACAGTTTGAACGATTTGTAGCTTGAGAAAATATTTGTATTTCAATAATTGTAATAATTGTATATATTTATGAAATTTGCAGAAGTGACTCAGAAATCGCGACGGAAAACAAAGTGGACGTTGCGAGTCTTCGTGATCCGGAAGAAGACAGCGCTCGCGTGAAAGATCCCAAGTGGTTGGTCGTCCTAGGCGTATGCACACACTTGGGATGCGTGCCCATCGCTAACGCGGGTGATTTCGGTGGTTACTATTGCCCGTGTCACGGGTCTCATTACGACGCCAGCGGTAGGATTAGGAAAGGGCCAGCTCCGTTGAACCTCGAAGTACCACCGTACGATTTCATCGATAACATGCTCGTCGTTGGTTAATGACTATTCAATACCTGTAGTCAGTTAATAAAATAATTTATGATAGGATACTCCGTGGACACATGCCTGTGACACCTGTCCATTTCCACCGTCGCGGAAAAATTGAGCCTTGTTTTGTATATTTCTCGAAACACACACCAACAAATTGGAGAGCTATCGTTCAAACATTGCGTGTACAGCGGCCGTTGTACCGAATTTAGAATAAATGTTAAATAAATGAAAATCTTGATAAAGCTTAATCGTACTTACTTATTTCACCGGCGTCACAGTTGCGCACGACACCAGACGCTTTATCGAAAGAACAAACGGCAATGTGGATCTCACCGCGGAAGCTCCACGTGAATTCGCGCAACATGCATCCTCCCTTCCACCCTTCGCGGCTACCTGTCGCCATAGCTGTGGACTTCGCGTCTCGGGGCAGGGGGTTGCGGAGATGCCACTGCGTCCGCCAGGAGGCGCTGACGATCGGCGGCCGCGAAGCGGCGGCAATCGTCATCGCAATTGCCGGCCGATCGCTGCCGGTTTTACTTCGATTGCTCTCGTCGCTGCTGGCAGCGTACGGACGAAGAGAAATCGCGCGCACGCGGCGTGATCAATAGTTATTATCGCTTCGGCCGTGTTCGTGCCATCTAGAGTAGTTCGGAGTTGGCCGCGTTTTGCCGGCCGGCGCGCGCCGGCGTCACTTCCCGCTTGCCTGTCGTCGTCACCGAGTACATATTACGTATACAACATATATATTACGTACGCGCGCGCCTTAACCCCCTCGCCGACCAGCTGACTCTCCCACTCTCCATCTCTCTTTCGTCTCTCTTTTTTTGTATCTCTTCTCTCTCTCTCTC